TTACACCAGTATATGCTGTTATACCAGCTAGTGGTTCAACGGATCACAAAACTCACAGTTCGGAACTTATTACGGTTTTTGAGTCACGGATTGGAAAATTTTTCGGATCAGCAAGAAAAGAAAATATTTTAATATAACTTTGCGTTCCATTTATTACTTAAAGCTAAGTACTTCTTCGATACCACAGCAAACACTACTAGCCCAACTAAGAAAGATCAAACATGATTAACCAGTAAAAAAAATAACAAATACACAAATTACAAGCATAGGTAAATACATCAGAACAACGTTACAAATCAAATAAAGTCGGTAGTATTCAGGAATGTAACAGAAATTTAATAATTAAGAGTAAAATAAAAAGCTGTGTTTTGTTGTTTGATTAGCATTAATGACAGCAGCAGGCATTTATAGACTGCTGTCCCTTTAAAGGAGACATATTATGCCCCTTTTTACAATATGTAATATAAGTCTCTGTTGTCCCCAGAATGTGTCTGTGAAGTTTCAGCTCAAAATACTCCACAGATCATTTATTATATCATTTTGAAAATGCCTATTTTAAGTGGAAGCAGAAACACACTTTTTTTCGGGCCTGTCTCTTTAAATGCAAATGAGCTGCTGCTCTGATTATCATGTTTATCGCGCTGAAATCATGCGTTTTAAACCATATTAGTTTAAACATCTAATATGGTTTTCTTAGTGCACACGGACAGAAAGCGGCTGTCACAGCATGCGAGTACTAAACTAAGTTCTCATTCACACTCAAGTTTACGTTAACAACACACGAGTTACAAAAACAGTCAGTTATGTCTGTGAAGGTAAACAGCTGGGAAATAAATTGCATGTTTATATTAGATCTGTGTGGCAGCAGCAATATAAAGTAAATCAATAAGTCTACTCCTCTGAGGCTGGGACTCTAAACCGTGTTCTGTGCTCGTCTGTGAAGCCAAAGGCAGAACAGTTAGCATGTTTTGCTCAAACTTTCACCATGGCATTAGAACTGGTACACCGTTGTCGCTTGCGAAATCAAAATGACGGC